TCAGCAAGTAATCTTCAGATGAATTTAAAGAATCATCTTTGTTACCCAGTATAAGTACACGGCTAGTCGGCTTATTAACTTGCTTTATATTTAGTTCCATTCAATTCATTATCAAGTACATTATCAGGTTCAGTGTCAAGTTTATTATCAGATATATTGCAAATAAATTATGAGATTCATTATTAAGGGTTATACCCTCAATTTTGCATTTGGGACTGTTTCCTCATTAATTGTGTGACACTTTTTTGTGAAGGCATACTCCTCATTAATTGGGTGACTGTTTTTTATGAGGGCAGTCTCCTCAGCTTTTTTGGTCAATCTGCATGTTCTCTGAAAAAAAGAAGAAACACAAACAGGTTTAATGAAAGCACCATGTCATTCATACCTACAATGAATTTGTAGCACATAAATTTAGAGGCCTAGAATTCGAATAAAAATAATGATTGCACAAATAAAATACTGGCATATTTTTTTACCACGCATTTGTCCACTGTCCACTATCAAAACAATATGTAATTTAGCTATTAAGTTGCACATGCACATCATCCACACTAGCAACATGACATGCAGATTACATCAAATCTGTTGAGATGTTCATGAGATAACCCCAATTTAGTAAATAAATAATATGTAATTAGCTAATTTACATATGCAAATTACTCCCAATAATATGACATGAAGATTACATCAATGTCATTTAAGAAATGATCTAAATTTAGTAAAAAACAATATGCTATTGCCAATTTACATATGCAAATTAACCCCAATAGTAATATGGCACACAGATTACATCAATGTACATCTCTATAAAATTTGTTTAGGATTTACTCTAATTAGTGAATTATCCCCAATAGTGCATCTATTACAACAATGCATATCCCTATCAAAGTTGACTCAAAGGGCAAATATGTCGATTTCTTCAAGAGATAATCCCAATTTAAGAAATATATGGAAATTAGATAAATTACATATTGTGCATATAAAACAGATTTAGCCCAAAAGGTGCGAGGAGTGTCCCAAAGCATGTATAATGAAGTAAATAATTATTTCTATTCATGACCGCTGTTACAAATGTATTTCAGTTTACCCCCACCCCACAAACGCATATACGCCGATCGAGCATGGGTGGCCACATCGGGATTACTCAGAATAGATATTAACAACATTAATTATCGGAAAAGTATTAAAAAAAGTCATTCGATCACAAATATTCATAATTGGACTTTAGAAAAAATCCACGATAAAACGATACACTATTAAAATGGCAGAGGCTACAATAAATTCACGCTACTTACCAGGAAAGTTGAGCGAGAGTGAACTACTTCGGGTTGCAACTAATCATGTCGAAAAATGACCAATCACGTTTCAGTGAGTTGTCTGTCATGACATCACATGTAATTAAAGGTGGCTGGACGGAGCTGTTTTCCGAAAAGAAATTAAATTTCCCGCTGCCTGGCATTGCACCTAAAACAAGGTCAGCTTGGACGTTCAGTTGCGAGACGTATAAAAAAAAACGCAGCCAGTGATACACTACGAAAACAAGTCATTGTCAATGACACGTCCCCGTTCCGTTCATATTTGAGTGACATATACATTCAAAGCAGATCATGACCGAAATGCACCTGCATATGTACAACACATTGTACTAAATCTGAACAAGTCATGAATGACACTGCCTTCGCTAGTTGTCATTCTAAAGTTGCATGGACATAAATTGGCAAACGTGATTTCTATGGCATTTTCAAGTTTATAGCACTCTCCATCCAGGTCAGCATTATTCTCAGCAAGGAAACCAGATAGCACCAAACCAGTACAACAGGTAAAATGACAAGGAAGTATACAAATCAGATCTGCAAATATGTAGAGTC